ATTTAAAACATATAACATATATAACTTTTCATTTTACATTTATGCTGATAAAAACACTAGTTCGACATTTTTTTTTTATTTTAATTTGTAGTTTTTCCATTTTTTTTTTATTTTTTTCTTTTTTCGCTTTTTTTTATAAACATACGAACTTTTTAATTTTACAAGTCTTTCTTTTGCTTTTTTATTGCATTTTTGTTTTAATTTCTTTAATATATATATATATATATATATGTATATATTTAGTTTTAATTATGTTTAATTTAAACAGATTTTACGGTTTTCTTCATTAACTCGAATTTAAGCTATAAAAATGTTTATTTATTTGGGAAGTTATGTTTTTTTTTTGTTTTGTTTTATGAATTATATATAAAACTAGTAGAAAAATAAAAGAAATAAATAAAATATAATATAATATATTTTTATAAAGAAACAAAAACAAAAAATGTTTTAACTTCATTTTTGACTTGTTAGTAAAAAGATAGATAAAATAAAAGCCATTTTCACATTAATTGAAATTTAATTAAAAAATAAAATACAGTAAAACTATTTTTAAACATAAAAACAGTTTTACTGTAATACGATTTCAGTTTTTATGTCACTCTCACACAATTTTTCACACATTTTTTTTTAAATTTTTTTTCAATATTTATACAGACTTCATATATATTTATAATTTATACAAAAGAAAAAATTTAATAAAAATAAATTTTTTTAAAATAAATTAACAATTATTAACAAAATTCGAAGTACAAATCGCGCTCCAAGGCACAAACAGTAGCACATTTGTCTTGTATTCCAAAACGGTTATATTCCGAACGGTTATAATATGTTTAATATAATACATAAAAATATAGTTTTAAATAATAAATTAACACCGCACAAGTTAATTCTAGTTGAAATACAAATACATAATTGCTAACCGTAACCGGAGCACAATTTTTACGATTTTCAAAATAAAAAAACAAGAATATTTAAAAAAGTATTTAACACAATAAATCAGAATTTAAATGAAATTAGTAAGTAAAGTTAAAAAAAAAAAATAATTAAAAATTACAAAAACAAATCATAGTTTTTTAATAAAACTAAAAATAAATTTTTTAATTATTATTACATATAATATATTATTCTACTGTTGTCTAGGCGGTGTTGTTGTTGTAGTTACAGCTTGATTACCTGCTGTATAGCGTAGCTGGTGGTGTGTTGGTTGCGTATGAAAGAGATATATTAATGGTTAGCGCCGTCCACCATAACTGCCACCAACTGTTTGCGCATTGTTATTGCTACCGCCACGTATTTGTTGACCACCACCGCTGTTATTAGTTGGACCACTGCGACTGTCGTTACGATTAAAAGTACCGCCAATGCGTGGTGCACCACCGGTCGATCCTCCACGTTGCATATTATTATTGCCGGAATTGTTGTTACGCATCATGCCACCACCGCCGCCAGCGGAATTGGATAGTGAACGTGATGGAGGACCACCACCTAAATTGTTACGTTGCGAATTACCATTATTATTATTCATGTTGTTACCCATGCCTTGTCTTGGCATATCATTTTGACGGGAACGAGGTTTTTTCTCTTCAACATTGAGTTTTTGACGATCAGACGAAGTAGAATTTTCCGGGAAATACAATGGCTACAAATATATTTTAAAAATATATGTTATTATATTATACATAGTATATTATATATTTTTACTTTACATAATATATATTTAATGAAAGATTTAATCTATTTAAAGATAGACAGTTTATAAATATTATATAGAGATGTCATATATGTTCATATATATTTTATGAAGAATTTAATTGATTTAAAGATAGACAGCTGTTAAATATTATCTATTATATTATATTATAATATTATAAATATTATATGTCTATTTCAATTTATTTCAATATCTCATTTTAAATAAATTATTATTTTATTGACCAAAAAATTTTTTTCTTAAACAAGCCACCTGTTTTTTTTTTTTTAAAAACCTACTACGTTCCTAGAACTTAGTTTCTAGAAGTAATTAGAAAAGGACTGCGACGAGAGAGCATAAAACATACGTTGAAAAACCGATTTCAGCTACTGCTTTAGTATTTAATTTGTTGGCGTTCATAATATTATTCCAAATGTTAATTGTTTGCATCATATTAAAGTATACTTTATAGACTAATAATGATACTGACTGTATATAATACTAATTATATAAATCATATACTCTGAAGATAGACTATAGTTAACATATCGGTAATAATAAAATATTTTTTAAAACTAATTTAAAAAGTTGTGTATTATTTATTATTGACTTCATTCATCCTTACAAACATATAGAAATAAAATTTGTTTATTAAAACATTCACTCTCGGATTAACTAATACCTGACCTGATATAATGAATCCACTGAATAATGAACAATCAAGTACTTGTAAATAACAAACTCATACAAAATGTTCTCTATAAATAACGAATGTTGCGCATCAAATGCTTTTGAAAAAACAAAAACCTTGAAATTATAACTTTCCTCATATCGACAATCTACTGTAAATAATAATACATAATATATAACTTCATAATATAGAGTTATACACAATAATATATAAATATTGAACATATAAATTATAATATATAGCTTCATAATACAGAGTTATACACAATAATATATAATCAATCATAATAATATACATATAGTAATACATAATAATGCATTAACAATTTCACATATCTTATCTCTCAATATCTTAATACTTACACAATTATTCAGACAATTCTGAACAGAGCTTGGGTCCTCATAGGTTATAAAACCATAGTTAAGGGGATTTCTTACACCTGGAGCGAGTTTTCCGCCAGCCTTCGATAGTATTCTCAATTCCAAAACTGTACCGAATCGTTCGAAAAGAGCTTTGATTTCCTCATCAGAAGCGTGGTGCGGTATGTTGCCTAAGAACAATTGATGATTATCGCCAAACTGTTGAGCATTACTTGTTCTACGCTGTTCAAAATCTGAAAACACATAATTTATTTTATATATTTACTTATTATTGTTTAATAAATTTAATTAATATTATATACCTTTATTCATTCTTCCAGCATTATTTCTTTGAGGCAAAGGTCCGCTACCCTGCTGTGATGACGACCCAAAACTGTTATTATCCGAGCGTAAAGATGAATTGTCATTATTGCGATTACTATATGTGGACATTGAGTTATTTGAGTTTGAAAATTGAATTGAAATCATGGAGTTAGGCTGGTAGTTGTTATTTACAGATTGTTGTTGTTGCTGCTGATGCTGTTGCTGTTGAAGCTGTTGTTGTTGTTGAAAAGCTGCATTTACAAAACCACTGGGTGAAGACGAAGTTGATTTGAAGAGATTTGCATAAGTTTTGGGCTCATTTTGTTGCTGCTTAGCGGCTTCATATTTCTCTTGTTGTTGTTGTTCATTTATGGTCTTAAAATCATCAACAACGGGAGCTGGTTCCGTATTTCGCACATTAACTTCACTGTTGCTAATTGTTGAATTGACATTGTTTGAATTTAATGACTCATCGATATCAACACTTACTGCACCACTTTGCTGAGGACTTTGGGATTGTAATAGTGATTGTTGTTGTAATATTGGTTGTTGTTGCTGCTGCTGTTGTAATGCTTGCGGCTGCTGTTGCTGCAACAGTTGTTGTTGCATATGTGATGACTGCTGTTGAAAGCCTTGCAACGTGTTTTGAGGTAAAACAGCAGCACCTGCAGCAGCACTTGCCACGGGGACAGCAGCAACACCAGTTGGAGTTTGTGCTGTAATGACAGTCGGTGCAGCATTAGTGGACTGTACAACAGGCGAACTACCACTATGAGCAGCAATTGTTGGTTGAGCGGAATTTTGCTGTTGAATGCTTGGTAACAAATCATCATGCGCCATTACACCGTTTAATTGGTTAACTGGTGTTGATTGCAATTGCTGTGGTGGTGGAACACCGGGAGTGCCAGCTGGCGCATATGGTGTACCCATTGGTACAGCTGCAGGTTGTGGTGCAGCAGCTAGAACAATACCAGCAGCTGGGCGGCCTGCCGTTGGTGGCATCGGATAATAAATCGTTTGCTGTTGAGGAGTAGCTGCTTGTGATTGTTGTTGCGGTATTACAGCGGTATTAGCAGCGACAACTTGAGCTGGAAGTGTCTGTTGTTGTTCAGCCACAACAGCAGCATTAACCTGATTTTGTGGTTCATTAGCTGTTACTGTTACCGTTTGCTCATGATCATCATCATTTTCCGAACGTGACTCACCATCATTGTCGTCATCTGAATACATATCCTGATATCTAAAGATGTCATTATGGACGTAGTATTTTTTCGGCGATTGGGCGGCTAAAACAAAAGTTTGTGTAAAACGACGCATCGGTTGTCCATCATTCGATAATTCTCCAGTCACTTGCACAACAACACCATTGCCGAGGGTAGCCTGCGCATCAACTTGACTTATCTTAGCATGACAATCATGAAAGTTCAACTGTTGAATGCGACTGTGGATGTTTTTCTGTCCAATTACCAATGTTGATTCACCATGAATAAACGAAGAATTATTATTATAAAAACGATGCAAATGATTGGGTGCCTTGTTAAGCAGGGTATAGTATTGGCGTACAAATTCACGTCCAACCGATTGTGGTGATGGTTGTTGAGGTTGAGTTGCATCCATTACCATTGCGTTCTTTTACTTTTAATTGGGCCGCAGCTTCGGTATATTGTTTAAATAATGAATTCAATGTTTTGGCAATTGATAAGCGTGTATGCGGATATAAATTTATATAACTGGTGATACTAAAAAATTAAAATATATACATTTTATTAGAACAGTAAAAAAGTTTATGTTTTGTATGTTTTGGAATAGAAATTCATAAGTAAATTAAA